GTCAAGGAAAAATTTTCCTAAGTTTTATAGCTAGTGAGGGAAAAATAGACAGCAGCTTAGAGTCAGGGAGGTAGAAGAAAACCCTAAACTAAGATGTGAAGGCTGACTGAAGTTCAGATTTTTCCAACTCTCTGGGTCTTGCAACTAGAATTTTCTTTCTCAATTTCCTATTTATTTCTTGTTCTTCTTATTTTTTGAGATAGGGTCTCATTCTGTCACCCAGGCTGGAATGCAGTGGCACAATCACAGCTCGCCGCATCCTTTATCTCCTGGCTCAAGTGATCCTCCCACCTCAGCCTCCTGACTAGCTAGGACTGCAGGTACGTGCCACCACACCCAACTAATTTTGAAAATTTTTGTAGACACTGGGCCTCTCCTTGTTGCCCAGACTGGTCTCATACTCTTGGTCTCAAGTGATCCTCTGGCCTCAGCCTCTCAAGTGTTGGGATTACAGAAGTGAGCCACCATGCCTGGCTTCTTTCTTAATTTGTAAAACGGGAATGACAGCTCCCAAGGTTACTCTGAGGAGTAAATTACAGTGTATGTGAAAGCTCATAATAAACTGTAAAGGAATATACAAAAACATGATATTGTTAATTTCTATCTCAGTAAGTTTTTCCATTGGATGACAATAAAGGGATTCTTTGAGAGTGCTGGAAAAAGGAATCTTTAGCTAAAGATTTCAGTACTAAAAATATTCAACCCCAGAGGTACCACAGACATAGTCTAATTTTTTCCATCTGTGCAGTTTAGGGTAGATTTGGCATATGCTCAATACCAGGCAAGAAAGAAACTATGGTTTAGGCTGCTTTTAAAGTTTTTTTTTTTTTTTTTAAAAAAGGCAGAAAAGGAAACTATTTCCTTTTATAAGCAGGAATGTTAAAATAGGGAAAGCTTTCATCGAGCAATTCACTACTGAATCAAGACTATTTGATCCATATTCTCACCTACTTCCCCTCATTCCCTATTTGTGTTGTGGTTAGGTAGTTGTTATCTAGATCATGGCTTATATATCGTGGTCACTTCCTCCCTAAAGGAAAACAATATAGATTATTTGTAACCAGCCATGTGACTCAGAGGTCAAAAGAGTGTTCTTTTCAGGGCATTCTCTCTAAATTGCTAATATGTAAGGATGTGTTTTTCAGAGCCATTGATTATTTAAAAATTATGGCTTTAAGATTAGGCCCCACCCAAGATGCCTCCTCAGAGGCTAAGTTTGAGGTTGAGAAATTAGCTTAAAGAGAAAGTTAAAGTAGCAGAAATGTCATGGCGGGTGAGCTGATGACTCACTGCCCCTGCCTTGTACTGCAGGAATGACAAAATGGAAAAGGGGGAAAAAGGCAATGCCCCACTGCAGACTAGAGGCTCCATGAAACCCAAGAAATTCCAAGAACTTGAAGAACCACATGGGTTCTTAGGGTAAAGGCAGTAAACTTAATTGCCATGGTCAAGTTGTTAAGTGCATCAAAGAAAGGACATAAGAAAGCTAAACTTGATTACACTTTACGATCAGACTCAATTGGATCATTTTATTCTCCTGCTTAAAAACTTCAAAAAGTCAGCTGGCTGTGGTGGCTCACGCCTGTAATTCCAGCACTTTGGGAGGTTGAGGTGAGCAGATCACAAGGTCAGGAGTTTGAGACCAGCCTGGCCATTCTACTGAAACTCCCATCTCTACTAAAAATACATAAATTAGCCAGGCATGGCGGCACACACCTGTAGTCCCAGCTAGTCGGGAGACTGAGGCAGGAAAATAGCTTGAACCCGGGAGGAGGAGGTTGCAGTGAGCCAAGATCGCACCACTGAACTCCAGCCTGGGTGACAGTGTAAGATCTTGTCTCAAAAACAAACAAGAATAAAACAAAACAAAGAAACTTCAATAACTCCACATTGTTACGGGACCAAGTCTAAACTTACAACGGTATAGAATATTCTTCATAACATAACCGTAACCTTTCTTGTTAACTTCATCTGTAATTAATTCTTTAAAAAAAATTTTTTTTTTTTAACCTTTTGAGACAAGGTCTCGCTATGTACCCCAGGCTGGAGTGCAGTGGTCCAGTCATGGCTCACTGCAGCCTCAGCCTCCTGGGCTCAAGTGATCCTCCCACCCCAGCCTCCCAAGTACCTGGGACTACAGGCCTGTGCCACCACCCTGGGCTTATTTTTGTATTTTTTTGGTAGAGATGGGTTTCCCACTATCTTACCCAGGTTGGTGTCAAACTCCTGGCCTCAAGCAATCCCAGTGTGCTGGTATCATAGGCATGGGTCGCCATGCCTGGCCGAATTAATTCTTATTACATATCTTGGAAGGTATCAGGGACAACTTAGAACTTCCCAAATAAGCAAGATACTTTTAAATCCCCATCAATTTGTTTACATGATTCCCTCTGCTCAAAACTCTTATCCCAGTTGGCAACTCCTAACTGTGCTTCAAAGCCTGCCTCAAGTATCATTTCTTCTCAGTAGCTTTCTCAACTCCCACTCTCTCCTGCTACTCAAAGTGATGACTCTTTCATCTCTGGAGTCATAGCACTGTAAGCAGTACTTTGTTAAATCACTTAACCTGATGAATTAGGTGGCCTCATTGAGTTCTATCCTTTCCTCAATTTACTGTGTACTCCCTGAAGGCAAGTGTGAGCATGTCATTGTACCATTCTTGCCACACTATTGGAGAATAATACAGGTGTGTTGCATTGAATCAAATATTAAAAGAGGACCAAAGCATAGATGAAACTTCTTGGCCTAGGAATTACACGAGGGGTAGAAGGTGTATCCTAAATCGATATATTTGATTCTGCTTTGGTCTTACCAGAGTGTATGCAATTTGCTTTTATTAAAAAACAGTGTTGGTAGTCCAGGCGAGGTGGCTCATGCCTGTAATCCCAGCACTTTGGGAGGCCAAGATGGTGGGATCACCTGAGGTCGGGAGTTCGAGACCAGCCTGACCAACATGGAGAAACCCTGTCTCTACTAAAAGTGCAAAATTAGCCAGGAGTGGAGGTGCGTGCCTGTAATCCCAGCTACTCAGGAGGCTGAGGCAGGAGAATTGCTTGAACCCAGGAGGCAGAGGTTGCAGCAAGCTGAGATTGTGCCATTGCACTCCAGCCTGGCAACAAGAGCCAGACTCTGTCTCAAAAACAAAAAACAACAACAACAAAAAACAGTGTTGACTTCACACTCATTCCTATAATCCCAACACTCTGGGAGGCCAAGGTGGTGAATCACTTGAGGCCAAGAGTTCAAGACCAGGCTGGCCAACATGGCAAAACCCCTTCTACTAAAACTACAAAAATTGGCCAGGCATGGTGGTGCGGGCCTGTAGTCCCAGATACCTGGGGGTGCTGAGGCATGAGAATTGCTTGAACCCAGGAGGCAGAAGTTGCAATGAGCCAAGATCACATCACGGCATGCCAGCCTGGGTGACAGAGTGAGACCCTGTCTCAAAAACAAAAACAAAACAAAGAAACAAACAAACAAAACCCCCCACAAACCACTGTCATTTAGTCAGGTGTGGTGCAGGTCTGTGGTCCTAGCTACAGGGGAGGCTGAGGCAGGAGGATCGTTGAGTCTGGGACTTTGAGGCTTTAGTGAGCTATAAACATACCACTGTACTCCAGCCTGGGCAACAAAGCGAGACCCTGCCTCTAAAGAAAAAAAAACAAAAACAAAAAACACACTAGTGTCATGAATATATTTCTTTAGATAAAACTTTTAAAATTGGTTTTCTGTTTAGAATTGGCTTTCCCATAACCCAGTTAGCCAAAGGTAGCTGAAATATTCCCCAGCTGGAATGGAATCACATTTGGGGCTTGCTTCAATCAGTGCACCTCTGTCTTGCTTTTGCTCTTCAAAGAGACCCTCATTCAACCATAGCCTTTGAAGGCATGAGCTGAACGGAAACCAGATGACTCTATTGAATTTTAAACTTGCCACAAGTTAACCAAAGAAGTATATATATATATATTTTTCTCTTATAGATTATGCCCACCTTCTTCCAGAAAGAACTTGAGGTTGAGGTTAAAACACACACACACACACACACACACACACACACACACACAGCCACCAAAAAAACCAATCCCCAAACAAATTATTCCATACTCATTCCATTGGTTCTTTTGATGGCCTTCTGTCAGTGTTAATGGTTAGTGTGAAAGATTTTTGGAAAAGTTTTCCAGGTGGGAGTAACAGCATTTCCTGAATCACCTTTTATCTTGATTTGTGGTAAATTTCTCTTTCAATGCCCTCAGGTCACTTATACCCTAAGACCCTACATTAATTTATTCACCTTCAAGTCAGTCACTTCTGCCCTCATCTAGGGCATATAACAATGTAGTTACTTACCCAGCAGGTATCCTGGCTAAGTAAGACCATAAATAATTCATCTCAGCAGGAGCTTTTGGAGTCAGTCTTCTGTCTGAGCATCTCTGACCGGTTATGCCACCTGATTTACCAGTTTCAAAAAAAAAAGAATGGTACCTACCTCATAGGTTTATTGTGTGGAGTGAAGTAAATGTCTAAAGCACCTAGAATAGCATCTGGCATATGGCACACACCTCAGTAGCTGGGACTACAGGTATGTAGTACCACACCTGGCTAATTTTATTTTGTAGAGACGGGTTCCTACTATGTTTCCTTAGCTGGTCTCGAACTCCTGGGCTCAAGTGATCCTCTCTCCTTGACCTTCCAAACTGTTGAGATTACAGGCATTAGCCACCATGCCTGGCAAACACTTTTTTTTTTAAGGGGTAGGACATAAACATTCTTTAAACCTTTTAAGCAAGGGCTTGAATTCTAGAATTTTAGAGCTCAAAAGACTTTCAAGAGTCCATTTACTCAAACCCTGCCTCCAGCTGTATTATACTATAATCACTATACACTGATAATTTTCTGATCTATTTTAATGATGTTTAAGAATGGAGAACTCACAGGATCCTTTTAGATTAAGTGCCTCTTTGGAGGGTTCAGTAGTCAATAAACATTAGCCTTATATTCTGTACTTTAAGTACTATTTCTCTATTTTTTACATATAAGTGGGTATAATAAAAAATTAAAGGAAGAATGGTCATTTTTAGAATAAACCTTATTTACAAAACCACAAGTCAGTCTGCTTTAGTATTGACAAAATCCCTACAACTGAGATATTAAAGAGATACATTTATTTTAGCTTTACATAAAAACAGAATCCAACACTACCCCATTTTCCTATTCCTGTGTGGCTCTGAGCGCAGCTTTAAAAAAAACAAAACAAAGCAAAGCAAAACAACTCTTTATATACAATGTACAATGGCTTAAGCAAATCGCTTCTTTAGTTTTTTTCTATTTAAGAATTAGGACAGACTACTCTTCTAAAATTTGCTATTTACAGAGAAAGCCCTAGGGAACAGGATAACTTATTTAGGTGTAGCTCTCATAATACAATATCCATAATGGCTTTAGAAGAATGTAAATAAATAACATTGTTAAACAATATATATTGATATTTTCTGACAAACTCATTTATCTAACATCATGCTGAGCAATCAAGAGGATTCCTCCATATATTTTAAATTTTAATTTATTCTAATTGCTGATTCACAAACTCTTGCTCCATATTAAAGCAGTTATCACCAATAGAACCTATGAGAATCAGTGCTCATGGAAATCTAACAGCTTGTTTTCCTAATCCTCTATTAAAACTCTGTTGAGCTTGATATATGCATGGCTGAACACTAGGCCTTTATTCAGGAATGTAAAATTAATGGTATCTGGTATCAAGTTGTAAGAAAAACTCCCCCAGATTGGGAGGTAATCGAGTGATATATGAAAGAATCTCCTGTCTGAATTGAAGAATACACTACAAAGGGCAGAAGAAGGTAGGGGAGAGGAAGTAGAAACAGAAGAAAAGCACAATGCCACTGGCTTCAAACTGAGGTAATTAATTAGAGACAGCAAATAAATACATCAGCAAATGCCCCATTTTTGTTTTCTAAAAAAGATCACTGGGAAACCAACAATTTTAAAGTTGATCCATTAATACATTTTTAAATAGAAAAAAGTTTGTATATTATATATATCATAATTCCATTCATCTAATACACTCCTCTGCTGAGATATTTAACACATCTTCATCTGTACTCTCTTCTATCTCTGGCAAGTTGCCCCAAAGGAGGACATTTACACCTGAAAATAAAAAGTCACAAAATTCTTTAATGCTCACTACTGTTATAACTCAGAACATGAATTATAAAACTTTATATGTTAATATTCTTATATAAACCATAGTGTTAGCAGTAATAACTACAGCCATTAAAGAATGAACTGCAAATAAAATTATCTAATTTTTAGATATTAGGTACTATCCATCTGGGACATAAACTTTATTTATTTTTTTGAGACAAGATCTCTCTGTGTTGCCTAGGCTGGAGTGCCTGGCAGGATTACGGCTCACAGTCACTGCTCACTGTAGCCTCAACTTCCAGGGCTCAAGTGATCCTCGTACCTCAGCCTCCTAAGTAGTTGGGACTACAGGTTTGTACTACCACACCTGGCTAATTTTATTTTGTAGAGACGGGTTCCTACTTTGTTGCTTAGGCTGGTCTCGAACTCCTGGGCTCAAGTGATCCTCTTTCCTTGACCTCCCAAACTGTTGGGATTACAGGCATGAGCCACCATGCCTGGCAAACACTTTTTTTTTAAGGGGTAGGACATAAACATTCTTCAAATCCTTTTAAGCAAGAGCTTGAATTCTAGAATTTTAGAGCTCAAAAGACTCTCAGGAGTCCATTTACTCAAACCCTGCCTCCAGTTGCATTATACTATAATCACTATACACTGATAATTTTCTGATCTATTTTAATGATGTTTAAGAATGGAGATCTCACAGGATCCTTTTAGATGAAGTGCCTCTTTGTAGGGTTCAGGGAAAAGTCCTGAATAAGTCTCCTTATCCCTTCAATAAGCAGAGAAGTAGCTGGTGCCATTTTTCTGATTTAGAAAAAAAGCAAGGGTTTGGAGCCAGTTATAATATGAACTACAATCCTTGATACCAGTGGGTTTCAGTCCAAAAGCAGAGCTGTAAACTAAATTTAGGACCAGGTTGCACCAGCCACTACAATAAACAAAAGAATAATCAACAACTTCACTGAGAAAGAATAGTCAGATTTCATACTGAAGAATGCAGCATGGGTATAGAGTAAATGATTAAGCATACAGTAGGGAATAATGACAAGGTTTATTACTCTGGGCATATATTACATTATAAGTTAAAAGCACTATTGACCACTAGAATAGTCAATTAACTTCACAAGAAAAGCAAAAAAAAAACATTTTTTTTTGAGATGGAGTCTTGCTCTGTTGCCCAGGCTGGAGTGTAGTGGTGCAATCTTGGCTCACTGCAACCTCTGCCTCCTGGGTTCAAGGGATACTCCTGCCTCAGCCTCCCAAGTAGCTGGGATTAAAGGCAAGTGCTACCATGCCCAGCTAATTTTTGTATTTTAAGTTGAGACAGGGTTTCAGCATGTTGGCCAGAGTGGTCTTGAACTCCTGACCTCAGGTGGTTCCCCTGCCTTGGCCTCCCAAAGTGCTGGGATTACAGACATGAGCCACCATGCTTGGCCAGAAAAGCAGATCTTAAGCTGTCCAGTTATCAGCGTGGACACAAAGAGTACTCAGCAATTCTGGATACCCACTCCGTACACACTGAGATAGAAGCCACATGGTGGAATGGAATGAGCATGGATTTGGAGATTTAGTTTGAATTTAGTGTTCACAACTGCCAGTATACCATGCATGGTTTTACTAGAAATGCATGCAACCATAGATAATATGTATTACTGTTTTGCAGATTTAAATTTTTTATAGAATGTTATTGTGCTACATGTTTTTTTCTAATTTGCTTTTTCACACATTATGTTTTTGAGGTTAATCTATGTTGACTTGTGTAGATTTTGCTCATTTATTTTTACTTCTAGAGAGTATTCCATTTTGTGAATTTTTAAAAATGTTGCAAATACAGCCCATTGCTCATTCCTTCCTCAGCTGCCCGTCTTGCATAGGTAGCCCAAGGAGACATGCCCAGGGATTTGTAGTGTGACATTGTTGAAATAGTAGAAATAATAAACTGTTTTCCTTGACTGAAGGAGATACTGGAATCTAATCTGGCAAGAAGTTAGCATGTATTTGATGCTGGTAGGGATACAGATGTCTATCTTACTATTTTCTATAATCGTTTTGTATTTGAATTGTTTATAATAAAAAATGCTACCCCACTCCCACCACAAGAATGAATGGTGTTCTGCTCCTGGTAAATGTCATGGAAGAGCTGACACAAAGAGCTGTAAGAAATTGTGAGGCAAAAATCTAAGTAAAAATTAGAACACATAAAGGTAAATGGAGGGCTGAAGCCATGTTGCCTCTGAGGGGATTTGCCAATTTCATGAAATTTGAGCTGAGGTTTCCCAAGCCCCCTCAAGAAAGTTCTGGGAAATCAGGTCTTTATGTGAAGACTAGAGGTCTAGAAAACAGACCTCCAGGAGTCTTTTTCAGTCTAAACATTCTAGAATTTGTAAAGCTTGTCTATGCATTCCTTTGACATTACTGGTTCAGGTGATTCAAGGATAGTTGTGATGCCATTAGAAACCTGCTTTGATACCAAACATCTAGAAAATCTTGCTTGAAATCACAATATTAAGGTTACAAAGCAGAAGCTTGATATTCTTGGAGTCGGTATTCAGAGACATGAAGCAGCTCAGCACAATTGCTTCAAAGGAGGAAAAATAAACTAAGAGATTGGATCTGACAGAAGCAGCACCTTCCTTTCTCTGTTAAGAAGGGAGGAAGGAAATCCTGTGATACATCTGTTTCTTATGGATTAGATTCAGTGCAAATGGAAGAACGCTGGGCTTTTATCTTTGAAAAATTGACCAATATTAAAACGTAAATCAAATTTGAAAAATCTCCACCCTGTGTTTTGAATTCTGTAAAGCAGGAAAAATACTATCAAAGCAGAAACTTCCTTTAATGTGTCCCATGGGCAACACAAATATAAAACTGGAAGCTTAAATTAGGAGACTGTATCCCACTTAGGGGAGTTCAGATAAGTTCTTACATGAAAATAGCCTTCTTAACATACCAAAAGTTTTAAATTAAGACCCCATAAATGATGGATTGAGAGCCACAGCTGAATCCCAGGTGATTTAAAAAAAAAATCAAATCTATAAAAATCTAAGCATAATTGGAGCATTTACAGACCCCTGACAACCTAGCTTGCAATTCATGATCTTTTGGTTTGTGAAGGCAAATCATATATTAAAAAATATATTTAAGTTCTAAAGGAGACTAAAACATGCATTTTGGAACCTAAGAATGCTAGTGTAACTTAGATTGTCAAGTTCCTTAAAGTCAGCTGGTTTGGTGTCTCAGGCCTATAATCGCAACCCTTTGGGAGGCTGAGGTGGGCCAATCACTTGAGGCCAGGAGTTTGAGACCAGCCTAGGCAAAATGGCAAAAAACTTGTCTCTATGAAAAATACAAAACATTAGCTGGGCATGGTGGCACAGGCCTGTGGTCCCACTTCAGAAGGTTGAAGTGGGAGAATCCCTTGAGCCTGGGAGGTTGAGGCTGCAGTGAGCTGAGATTGTGCCACTGCACTCCAGTCTAGGTGACAGAGCAAGACCCTGTCTCCAAAAGAAAAAGGAAAAGTTCCTTAAAATCAACTTGGTCTGTTGTGTAAATAGATGTTAGACATTGAGAACATGTATCTTATAACAAAACTGAATGGCTCCAGGCAATATAAAAAATATTATATAAATCCCCTTTAAGAATTGGTACTTTGGCTGGTGTGGTGGCTCACACCTGTAATCCTAGAACTCTGGGAGACTGAGGAGGGCGGATCACCAGAGGTCAGGAGTTCGAGACCAGCCTGGCCAACATGTCAAAACCTTTTCTTTACTAAAAATGCAAAAATTAGCCGGGCATGGTGGTGTGTGCCTGTAATCACAGCTACTCAGAAGGCTGAGGCAGGAGAATCACTTGAACCAGGGAGGCAGAGGTCACAGTGAGCCGAGATTGTGCCAGTGCACTCTAGCCTTTGGAGACAGAGTGAGACTCCATCTCAAAAAAAAAAAAAAAAAAAAAAAAAAAAGAATTGGTACTTGAGGCCAGGCACAGTGGCTTACACCTGTAATCCCAGCACTTTGGCAGGCCGAGGTGGGCAGATCACTTGAGGTTAGGCATTCAAGACCAGTCTGACCAACTGACCAACATGGTGAAGCCTCGTCCCTACTAAAAGTACAAAAAAATTAGCCAGGCATGATGGCGCATGCCTATAATCCCAGCTACTAGGGAGGCTGAGGCACGAGCATTGCTTGAACCCGGGAGGTGGAGGTTGAAGTGAGCCAAGATCGCACTGTTGCACTCCAGCCTGGGCAACAAGAGTGAAACTCTGCCTCAAAAAAAAAAAAAAAAGAATTAGTACTTAGTATTCGGCACCTTAGCACCTTAACACAAAGTGAACAAAGAAAAAAGAATTGGTAGTGTATTTTCTTAGTAAAGTAATTTTTTGAGATAGGGTCTCACTTTGTTGCCCAGGCTGGAGTAAAGTGTTGTGATCTCAGCTCACTGCAACCTCCACCTCCTGGGTTCAAGTGGGGTTTAACCATATTGGCTAGTCTGGTCTCAAACTCCTGACTTCAGGTGATTGAAGTCTTGGCTTCCCAAAGTGTGGGATTACAGGCATGAGCCACTACGCCTGGCTTTGCTAAAATAATCAGTATAGGCATACCTCATTTAATTGTGCTTTACTTTATTGCATACCATAGATACTGGGCTTTCTACAAATTGAAGGTTTTGGTGATCTTATATTGAGTAAGTCTAACAGCATATGCTCACCTTGTGTCTGTTACATTTTGGTAATTCTCTCAATATTTCAACGTTTTTCATTATTATTATATATATTATGGTGATCTGTGACGTTACTGTTAAAATTGCTTTGGGGTGCCATGAACCACACCCACTTAAGAGCACATCCACTTAAGAATGCAAACGTAATCAATACATATTTTGTGTGTTCTGATTGTTCCACTGACCAGCTGTTCTCTCTCCCTTTCCTGGGGCCTCCCTACTTCCTAAGATACAACAATATTGAAATGAGGCCAGTTAATATCCCTATAATGACCTCTACAGTATGTGTTTAGGTGAGAGTAGAAAGTCTCTCATTTTAAATCAAAAGCTAGAAATAATTAAGCGTAGTGAGAAAGACATATTGAAAGCTGAGACAGGCTGAAAATTGGGCCTTTTGTGCCCAATTGTTAGCCAACTTGTGAATGCAAAGAAAAGTTCTTAAAGGACACAAGAAGTGCTACTCCAGTGAAAACATGAATAAGAAAGTGCAACAGCCTTATTGCTGATATGCAGAAAGTTTTAGTGACCTAGATAGAAGATTAAAACAGCCATGACATTCTGTTAAGCCAAAACCTAATCCAGAGCGAGGTCTTGATTTTCTGCAATTCTATGAAGGGCAAGAAATTCGAGGAAACTATAGAACAAAGTTTGAAGCTAGCAGAGGTTGGTTTGTAGAGTTTAAGAAAAGAAGCCATTTCTACAAAATACAAGTGCAGATGAAGCAAAAAGTGCTGATGTAGAAGCTGCAGCAAGTTACCCAGAAGATCTAGCTAAGAGCATTGATAAAGGTGGCTACACTAAACAACAGATTTTATTTTATTTTATTTTATTTTATTCTTTTGAGATAGAGTTTTGTTCTTGGTGTGATGGCGTGATTTCAGGTCACTTCAAACTCAATCTCCTGGGTTCAAGTGATTCTTCTGCCTCACATACCGTCATGTCTGGCTAATTTTTTATTTTTAGTAGAGATAGGGTTCCACTATGTTGGTCAGACTGGTCTCAAACTTCTCTTCACGTGATCCACCCACCTCAGCCTCCCAAAGTGCTGGGATTATAGGCGTGAACCACTGCCTCTGGCAGAAATTTTCAATACACACAAAACAGCCTTCTATTGGAAGTAGATGCCATCTAAGACTTTCATAGCTAGAGAGGAGAAGTAATACTTGGCTTCAAAGCTTCAAAAGACAGGCTGAATCTCTTGTTAGAGGATAGTGCAGCTGGTGACTTTAAGTTGAATCCAATGCTCATTTACTATTCTGAAATTTCTTGGGTTCTTAGGAATTATGCTAAATATACTTTGCCTGTGCTCTTATCAATGATATAGCAAAGCCTGGATGACAGCAAATCTGTTTACAGTATGTTTTACTAAATATTTTAAGCCCATTGTTAAGACCTACTGCTCAGAAAAAAAAAAAGATCCCTTTGAAAATTTACTGTTCATTGACAATGGACCTAGTCACCCAAGAGCTCTGATGGAGTTGTACAAGGAGATAAATGTTGGTTTAATGCTTTAACATAAAGTCTGTTTGGCAGCCCATGAATCAAGAAGTAATTTAGTCTTTCAAGTCTTATTATTTAAGAGATACATTTCATAAGGCAATAGTTGCCATAGATTAGTGATTCTTCTGGTGGATCTGGGCAAAGTACATTGAAAACCCTCTGGAAAAGCACCTTCCTGATTCATGGGAGATCAAAATATCAACCTTAACAGGAGTTTGGTAGAAGTTGATTCCAATACTCATGGGTAACTATGAGAGGTTCTAGACTTCAGTGGAGGAAGTAACTGCACATGTGGTAGAAATAGCAAGAGAACTAGAATTAGAAGGGGAGCCTGAAGATGTGACTGAATTGCTACAATCTCATGATTGAGCTTGAAACGATGAGGAGTTGCTTCTTATGGATGAGCAAAGAAAATGGTTTCTTGAGGTGAAATCTACTCCTGATGAAGATGCTGTAGATGTTGTTCAAATGGAAACAAAGGATTTGGAATATTACATAAACATAGTTGACAAAGTAGTAGCAGAATTTGAGAGGACTGACTCCAATTTTTTTTTTTTTTTGAGACGGAGTTTCGCTCTTGTTACCCAGGCTGGAGTGCAATGGCACGATCTCGGCTCACCGCAACCTCCGCCTCCTGGGTTCAGGCAATTCTCCTGCCTCAGCCTCCTGAGTAGCTGGGATTACAGGCACGCGCCACCACGCCCAGCTAATTTTTGTATTTTTAGTAGAGACGGGGTTTCACCATGTTGACCAGGATGGTCTCGATCTCTTGACCTCGTGATCCACCCGCCTCGGCCTCCCAAAGTGCTGGGATTACAGGCTTGAGCCACCGCGCCCGGCCAACTGACTCCAATTTTGAAAGAGGTTCTACTATGTGTAAAGTGCTATCAAACAGTATCACATGCTACAGAATCTTTTGTGAAAAGAAGAGTCAATCCATGCAGCAAACCTCATTGTTGTCTTATTTTAAGAAATTGCCAGGCCGGATGCAGTGGCTCACGCCTATAATCCCAGCACTTTGGGAGGCCCTGGAGGGCGGATCACCTGGTCAGCAGTTTGAGATCAGCCTGACTAACATGGAGAAACCCGATCTCTACTAAAAATACAAAATTAGCTGGGTGTGGTGGTACATGCCTGTAATCCTAGCTACTCGGGAGGCTGAGGCAGGAGAATCACTTGAACCCAGGAGATAGAGGTTGCAGTGAGCTTAGATCATGCCATTGGACTCCAGCCTGGGCAACAAGTGCAAAACTCCATCTCAAAAAAAGAAAGAAAAAAGAAATTGCCACAGCCACCCTAACCTCCAGCAATCACCACCCTGATCAGTTTGCAGTCATCAACAATGAGGCAAGCCCCTCCACCAGCAAAAAAATTATGACTTGCTGAAGGTTCAGATGAAGATTCGCATTTTTTAGCAATAAAGCATTTTTTTTCTTTTTTGAGACAGGATCTTGTATTGTTGCCCAGGCTGAAATGCAGTGGCATGATCATAGCTCACTGCAACCTCTACCTCCCAAATTCAAGTGATCCTCCCACCTCAGCCTCCTGGGTAGCTAGGACCACAGCATGCACCACCATGCCTGGCTAATTTTTATATTTTTTGCAGAGATGAGGTCTCAGCACGTTGCCCAGGCTGGTCTCGAACTCCTGGGCTCAAGTGATCCTCCTGTCTTGGACTGCCAAACTGCTCGGATTACAGGCATGAGCCACCACTCTGTTCTTGGACTAGTAACATTTTTTGATGAAGGTGTGTACATTGTTTTTTAGATATTATGGTACTGCACACTCAAAAGACTACAGTATATTGTAGACATAACTTTTATATACACTCGGAAACCAAAAAATTGTGTGACTTGCTGTAATTGTGATATTTGCTTGCTTTATTGTGGTGGTCTGAAACTGAACGCACAATGTCTTCAACTGTGCCTGTACAACATACTTTATACTTTGGTGTTAAATATTACTCCCATTACCCTAGCCTGGCCTCTCTCCCTTTCTTAACACACACACACACACACACACACACACACACACACACACAGACACACACACACACACGACTATGAAATCTAAAATCTTCAAAAATTCTCTGAAGTCAGAATATATATCAAGGCAGCATTTAAGAGCAATTACAGTATTCATTTTAAAATACCGAGAAATTCAGCCACGTTTGAGGCCTTAAGTACAAGGATGAACATAGAAATGACAATGAATTTTGCCCAGTAGGTTTCATAAGTGAATGTCTGGGAAAAAAGAACTGAAGTTTCACTCTAGCTGATCCAGCTAAGAAGATCTAAAAGGAATCCTGAAATGATCTATTGGGAATTTATTCAGTTATTGATAGAGAAATGTTACAGGAATGTCCAAGTCAATTGTTTCTTACCTGTGGAGTCTAGTCTGTTAGTATCATAAACTGCCCGGCTGTGAAACATCCAGAAGTGTCCGTTGTTGCAGGAAAGAAGACAGGAACTACATGGAACTATCACATGATAACCTACAATGTTCCCACTAGAAAAGAAAGTAAATGTTACTAGCTACCATGTAATACCTGGCCAGATAAGTCTTTTTATGTGCTTACATAAAGAGATAGACCACATTATTTAGATCTCATTTTCTCCTAACAACTTTCATTGCTGGAATCTTTGAGATAGGATGAGGGTGCAGCTCTACCATCAAGTGGGAAAGCAGTCTTTAAGTGAATAATAGTAACATATTCTCACATTTCTTTGCTAGTATTATTATTTTTATTTTTAAGACAGAGTTTTGCTCTTATTGCCCAGGCTAGAGTGCAATGGCGCCATCTTGGTTCACTGCAACCTCCACCTCCTGGGTCCAAGCAATTCTCCTGCCTCAGTCTCCAGAATAGCTGGGATTACAGGTGTGTGCCACCATGCCCAGCTAATTTTTGTATTATTAGTAGAGTACCGGGTTTTACCATGTTGGCCAGGCTGATCTCAAACTCCTGACCTCAGGTGATCCACCCACCTTGGACTCCCAAAGTGCTGGGATTATAGGTGTGAGCCACCACACCCGGCCTGCTAGTATCATTTTATGCATTCTCCCTTCAGAAGTTAGCTTCTAGAGGCCATAAGGTTGTGATTTGTTCTATAAACCACCCAAATTGATGTGCTGTATAGACAAAATAATTAAATAAACTTGGTTCTGTGGGTAAAGGTTTTTGCTATCCCAGGACTGTGGTAAGTTGGGTTCTGACATGTTCTCGTTTCATGCCAGCACCTAAAAACTGTTTCAACAGATGGAGAGGTAGGAAGACAGCATGAGTCCCTGTAAACCAAATACAAGCTGGCTGCTCTAATTTTAGTCTCAGTGTTTTTGAAGGAATTCAGAAATAAAGCAAATCTACAGCCTCTAGAGAAAGTTGCAAAAGTTTTTATAGTTTTCAGAATTATCCAGCTGATTATAAGTACCTCACTCTTTCACATTTTTTTTTAAACTAGCTAGTCACATATTAAATAGAGTGAACCTACAGGGAATGTTTTAGCTAGTACTTAAAAAAAAAATGGCAACACGGACTGTTTATACCTTGAGTTGTAAAAATTCTTATTGTAGCTTACTTAGTATTACTCTGTGAGATTTGAGAAGTTAGTCATTTTTATGAGACCTTCTAAAGATTACTATAAAAGTACCAGCCCACCTAAAATATATCTTCTAATTATAACTTGCTTGAAAGACAAACAAATAAAAACAAAAGTTGTTTTTGGACTAGGACTGACAGTTATTTGTAAGACTATATTGTAAGGTAAATTCCATGGTTTAATTACCACCTATATTCCTTCATTCATCCATTGATTCATCATTTAACTAACATTTATTGAGTACCTACTATCTGCCAGGCACTGCTCTAGGTGCTAGAAATACAGTGGTAAACAAAGCCCTTGTTCTCATAGAGCTAACATTCAATTTTTGTATGTTTTTGTAGAGATGAGGTCTCAGCATGTTGCCCAGGCTGGTCTCAAACTCTTGGGCTCAAGTGATCCTCCTGCTTTGGACTGCCAAAGTGCTGGGATTATAGGCAGAAGCCACCACTCTTGGCCCAATAACATAGATTAGATCATTCTGCTCCCTTGTTAAAACCTCTTCAGTGGCCAAAAATGAAAATAAAACCCCCTCCATACCAAGGTCTAGATCTATGCTATTAAAAATAATAGCCACTAGACACATGTGGCTGTTGTATACTTGAAATGGGCTGGCCTGAATTGAGATGTGCTGTAAGTGTAAAATGTACACCAGATTTCAAAGAGTAAGAACAAAAAATGGAATGTAAAATATTACATTAGTAATTTACGTGGGTTACATGTTAAAATAACACTTTGGATACACTGGGTTAAACAAAATATGTGATTAAAATTAACTTTCCTGTTTTGGTTTTCTTTCTAAAATGTTGTTGCCTGGGCATGGTGACTCACACCTGTAATCCCACACTTTGGGAGGCTGAGACAGATGGATCACCCGAGGTCAGGAGTTTGAGACCAGCCTGGTTAAAACGGCAAAACCCCGTTTCTACTAAAAATACAAAAATTAGCCAGGTGGGCTGGGTGCAGTGGCTTATGCCTGCAATCCTAACACTTTGGGAGGTCGAGGCGAGTGGATTGCCAGAGCTCAGGAGTTCGAGACCAGCCTGGGCAACACGGTGAAACCCTGTCTCTACTAAAATACAAAAAATTAGCCAGGCATGGCAGTGCATGCCTGTACTCCTAGCTACTTGAGAAGTTGAGGCAGGAGAATCATTTGAACCTAGGAGGTGGAGGTTGCAGTGAGCTGAGATCGTGTCATTGCACTCCAGCCTGGGTGACAGAGCAAGACTTTGTCTCAAAAATAAATAAAACAAAATGCTGTTACTAGAAAAATTTAAATTATATATGTGGCTTGCATATTTCTATTGGACAATACTGCTCTAGATTATCTGGGTTCTGACTACGTCTCTAACCTACTCAAACTACCCTCCCTCCATGTTCACATCTTAGCCATACCAGCTGTCATCTTTCATTACTTGAACATGTCTAACTTCTCTTTGCCATGAGTTCTTTGCATCTGCTATTCTCTCTGACTTTTTATAACAAGACTTCCATGACCATGATATTTAAAATAGCTCTCAATTTCTCAAATTCCATAATTCTGTCTTTTATTATTATTACTTTTTTAGGAGTACTTTCCACCATATTAAATATTTATTTAAGTACCTTATTGATTGATCATCTTCCCACTAGAAAATAATGTCCAAAGGTCAGTAACTTCATCTAGTTTTTTTGTTGTATTTCCAGTCCTTGTAACAATGACTGGCACATACTAGTTCCTCAATATAAGTATAGCTTGAATAAATGAAGGAATGAAATCAAACAGCACATAAGAAGAATTTGCCAATTTAAATTATTAGGATTGTCAGTTATAATACAAACCCCATCTAAATACAAACCCCATCTAAATGAGAACATGTCAACTTTTTACCTTCTAAAATGAAAATAATAACACGTCTGTCTACTCCTCAAAATATTATAGTAGTAGTTATCAGCTGTGTTGTAATTAATAGTTTATTGAGCCTTTTAACATTCATATTTGATCTTCACAGTAACTTGATAAGGTAAATACAGAATATTATTAAATTTCTATCTTAATAAGAAGGAAATTAAGTTAAGATGTAGTGGCTCACACCTGTAATTCCAGCCCTTTGGGAAGCTGAGGAGGGAGGATCATTTGCGGCCAGGAGTTTGAGATCAGCCTGGACAACAGCAAGACCCTGTTGCTCCAAAAAATAAAAAACTTAGCCAAGCATGGTGGAGCTTGCCTGTAGTCCCAGCTATGCAGGAGGCTGAGGTAGGAGAATTACTTGAGCCCAGGAGTGCAAGGTTATAGTGAGCTATGATCATGCCACTGCACTCCAGCCTGAGCAACAGTACAAGACCTCTCTAAAAATAAAAAAAGAATAACAATATAAAAATTAAAATAAGAAAACAGAGGTTCATCAGTTTAGAGGCTTAAGGAGTTCACCCAAATAGGGTCAGACCTCAAACATGATTTTTATTGTAAATCCAAGTGTTTTTTCCCCCCTAACCTATATTGCCTTGTTCTGAAAATTGATGCAGATACTGTGAATGTACTTTGAAAATTGTAAAATTATATACTTACATGAAGCATCACAAAATGCTTTTAAAAAATAGTTCTAAGTAATAAATGACTTTTCAGTGGCTCATTGCATGCTTTACACCAGTGCTTGTTGCAGCCCACTGAACCTTTCTCTATGCATTGGTGTCAATATCCATCTTCCAAACCCAGGGCTATCCAGAATAGTGCCACAAATTACCATTTTAAACATGCGATGTCCTTCAGTTTACATTTGCAGATTTTGGTGAAATAGCATCGTCCAGTGAAGTCCACTGCGCTGGAGAGAGAAAGGTATAATGATAGTCAAATGCACTTCATGAAAAATTTATCTGTGGCAAAAAATTAACAAAATTTACCAACCATTTTTATGTGTACAGGGCAGATGTATTAAATATAATCACACTGTTACACAAGAATCTTGAGACCTTTTTCATTTTGCAAAACTGGAGCTCTATACTTATCAAATAACAACCCCCAACTTCCCCTTCTCCTAGCCCCTGGCCACCATTATACTTTCTGTTTCTATGATTTTGATTACTTTGATATCTAAGAGGAATCATACAGTATTTGTCTTTTTGTAATTGGCTTATTTCACTTAACATAAATTCCTTGTTTCATTCATATTGTAGCATGTGACAGGATTTTATTTCTTTTAAAGAGTGAATAATATTCTATTATATGTATATACCTTTTTTTGGGGGGAAGGGGGACAGTCTCGCTCTGTTGCCAGGCTGGAGTACAGTGGGGTGATCTTGGCTCACTGCAATCTCCATCTCTTGGGGTCATGCAATTCCATTGCCTCAGCCTCTCAAGTAGCTAGGACTACAGGTACATACCACCATACCCAGCTAATTTTTTGTATTTTAGTAGAGTCAGGGTTTCACCATGTTGGCCAGGGTGGTCACAAGGAGTGACCTCGTGATCTGCCCATCTTGGCCTCCCAAAGTTCTGGGATTATAGGTGTGAGCAACTGTGCCTGACTTTTTTTTTAAGAGACAGTGTCTTGCTATGTTGCCCAGGCCGGACTTGAACTCCTGGGCTCAAGTGACCTTCCTACCTCAGTTTCCCAAGTGGGTGGAACTATAGGCACCCTATACCACATTTTGTTTATCCATTCACCTGTAGAGTCAATGGACATTGGGGCTGTTTCCACCTCTTGGCTACTGTGAATAATGCTGTTAATGAACATGGGTATGCAAATATCTCTTCCAAGATCCAGCTTTGAAGTCTTTTGGCTATATATCCAGAACTGCTAGATCAGATAGAAATTCTATGCTTCATTTAGCACAAATATTTCCAACCCAAAGAGCTGAAAAAGACTCTAACACAGAAGTATATTTTTAAAGAGTCAGTTTATATTTGTGAGCTCACCATAAACATGACAAATTTTCCATTTAAAAAATTTTTATGTGTTCATTGATTCATATACATCTTAGCATGTTAATTCATCACTATTTTAACCCCTAAAAAGAAGAGCTGAAAATAAGAAAAATCTGATTCTATTCTAGACTTGGGTCTAACCCCTAACAATTCACCTAGCCTTCCTTATGACTGCCTTATTACTTACCACAGCTATTGCAAAGATGAATGGGTTAATATTTTAAATTTGTATATGAGCTACTAAAAAGAAAAAGCAGTGGACAATGAATCATAGAACTCTGTAGCAACAGGTTCTATGATTTATTGTCTAGTGTTTTTCCTTTTTTTTTTTTGCAATACATATACAATGTACACACAAAAAAACTTAAAATATTAATTTAAAAAAATTAAAAAGATTTAAAAATAACCCATTTATCTCTGCAATAAATGAGAGACTTTGGCTTTGCTGATAGGCATGATTACACTTAGACGAATTCAGAAAAGAATTCAAGTAAGGAAGAGTACACAGCTTTACCTGGGTAAATTAAAAAACTTGTAAAGTTTCTATCATTATCATAAAATTCATTTAAAATGAATTATGGTTATTAGCCTGCTTCCTCTGGCTCTATATCCAAACACTTAGAGAATAACTGTCCACTCACAGTTTTGATAATTACTTTCCTTTTAATAATAAAATTTCAATAAAGAACTAAATCTTGAAGATTCATGTAGGGCATATACATGTTGACTATGGAAAGAGAAAGTATCATTTAGAGCTAGAAAAAGGTTACTTGAGTCAAATAAAATGGCTATTTTACCAAATAGGAAGCAAATTCTTAAGGACTCTACACTCAAAAGCAGTTAGTGGCTGAAAACAAGCAGATTTTAAAAGGGTTCAATTATGGGAACAAATGTGTAATATCCAAAATAGGCTTAATGGGAAATAAGGATTAAGGCTAAGTAAGTCTCTATTTTTCATCCCATAAAAATCTATTTACATCTCTTTCAGAGAGAAATAGTTTTGAGGAAAGAAAACTGAATTTGATGAACAATGGATCTGATTCAGGATGCCAATTGCAAATAATGATGGAAAACTTTTTTTTTTTTCCTGGTGCAAGATTTCATAGATAAAAATGAAAAACTTAAATACCTCTCCTCTCCAACAGTACAGAAAATTTGCCTGAATTTACCTCGAGTCTAGGTCATGGACTTGATTCAGTGAAATAGGATGGTTGGGCAGGGCACCGAACAGGGATCAAACTTAAGAGATGTGTGGTCGCATGACTGTAATTGAATTAGAAGCATTACATCAGGACTGACCACCTTGGCTAAACCACAGACTTTGTCCAGACAGTCTGCCCACTTAGATATATTCCAAGGGGATCATCAAACTGTTGGGAGTGGCTGGAAACGATAACCTCCTTGTTGACTCCCAGGGATCCAAGCCATAAGTTTTCCCATTTAGTTAAAAGCTACCGTTGCCCACCTCTAGCATGACTTACTTGGTAGGAGGGATGTCTGTAGAGAAAAGGTCTATTTCAGTATCAGCCAGCAAAACAGCCTTCATTCCCCTAGAGCTGAGCACTTGTTTACAGAATTTGCAACACAGGATGGACACGCACCGGTCCTTGAAACTACAAATGTTGGTAGTCATGGCGTCGCAGGAAGGATGAGGTGTAGGATTTTGAAAAGGGAAACAAGAGCAATGCTCCTACTACTTTGATTCCCCTAGGCTAAAAACCAAGTTGCGAGGCCTCGAGCTTCTCTAAGCCCTAAAACTGGGAAGGAAATGAGTTCTTTTCTGTTTTCCTGGTGGAGGAGCAGAAGCAAAATTTATTGAGTAGAAACAGGGGAGGCGCGGCAAACTGGTTTTCCTTTTAACTTTCGGGGAAGGGAGTGGAGTTTGAATTGGAGAGGAGGCGGGTGGGGTTTGAGGCGAACTTCTCAACAGCTTTCCCTTTCTCCTGTCTGAAGGAGTCCTCTACCCCTCAGCTCCCGCCCCTTCCCAGCAATTCCCGCAGCCTCCTCGGATCGTCTCTAATTTAAAGCTTCTCCTCTTTTAAGACGTCCCTTTCCCAGCGTTAAGCCCCTCCCCCAGAGCGCTCCCGTTCCCAGCTCAGGGATCTCGGGCTTAGCGTCCCTACCACGCCTCCTTCGCCCAGGATTCAGGAACTCCCTTCGCTCTTTCCGACGGGAGATCCCGCGTTCTCCTCCGTCCCGCCCCACTCTCTCCCGGACCTTCCTCCGCTCTACGGGTCCGCGGGCCCCTCTCCTGGCCGTCCCCAGCCCTCGGCGTGCTCGCGCTCGCGCTCGCGCCGTTTCTCTCGCGTCCTCCCTCCCCTCGGCTGTCCCCCTTGCCCCCCGCAGTCCCCTCAGGTCTCTTCCCGGAGCGGCCGTTCCCCCGGCGCGCGGTGGTGGTGGTGGTGGGGCAGGGCTGAAGTCGCTTTTGGGGCTCAGTCAGCGCCGGGGTCTGTCACCGAACACGTTGGTTTTTGCTCCCTCTTCCGCTTTTCCTGCCTCTCCAACCTGGTGTCAGTTTGAATTGCCAGCGCCGCGCAGCGATTGGGAGAACTAGAGCTTGCCTCCGTCCCGCATTGGAAGGCTCCGGGGCCTCCCCTGACCAGAGCTAGTGGCTTGAAGACTATAGGCACCGCCCCAGTAACGGTGCTGAGAGATCAGCTCGGCTTTTTGGTTGGCCGAGCTTGGCTCCGCCTCCGATCTCATTGGCTGGCTTCGGGAAGTTTCGGCAAATCCTCCCTTAGCCCTGGAGAAAGTGGCAAGGCACGCCCTTCCCGCTTCTTATTGGGAGAGAATCTACAGTACCCGCCGGTCTCTACTCTCTATTGGCTATATTTCCCCGCAACACCCCACCTCTCTACCCCGGCCCAATTGGCCATGCCTTCGCTCAAGAGTTTGTGTTTGGTCGTCCGCTCCATCTTAATCCCGCCCATCAGTTCTACTCAAGGTTTCGACAACCTGGGGTGGAGCTTAATCTGTGACCACGCCTCCACAGCGCTAGTCACACCTCCAAGTTTTGCCAGCTCCTCCTCCTCATTCCGGGCCTCTCGGGATCCGCTCTTCCTATTGGCTATAGGCCCCATCGGTCGATAGAAAGCGGGCGGTGATTGGTAAAGGGGTGGGCTCTGGTTCCCGGCGGGGTCCTGCGGAGTTGGCGGAGGCTCCTCGAGGGACTGGGGCACCGATCTGCGTAGAAGCGGGTGGCGGGGAAGAGAGGGGAGGAGAGCTCTGAGTGGGAAGCGGAGCCGGGGGCCTGGGACCCGTCGCGTCAGAGCCAGGTAAAGGCTCCTTCCCTCTTCCTTTTCTTCCTCTCGGCCGCCGGGCTGGAGCCCTGACTGAACAAACCCGGGCTGGGGCGGGAAGGAGAGGGCGCGGATGCTGCTCCCGGCATCGCCTTAACGGTGCCGCCCGAAATCCCTCAGACCGCCCCTCCACCCTCTCCAAATCTCCCAGTACAGCCCATAATACTTCTCGGGACTGCGAGTCTCTCCGCCCATCACTGTACAGCCTGGGACTCTGTCCTGGCTCACCCACCGAAGAGCAGCCCGCACCCAGCCGCCTCCCCCGTTCCTCCGCACACGGGCAGCCGCGGTCCACTGTGGGGCAGTAGTCGTTGGCATCGCGCGTAACCATCGGCTGGCCTCCTTCCCTGCCTCCCAGCCTTGGCGGACAGCCGCAATCCCAGCCCAGGACCCAGGAGGATGGGTGTTCCGCGCAGCTTCCGGGGCTTTCCCCCAGTTCCACCCCTCGGCCTGCCGCGATGGACTTCTCTTCACCCACTCCCATTCCTAGACCACATCTCGGTCCCCACAGTTCCTAACGTTCTCGCTCTTCACGCAACATCGCGGCCCATGATCGTCCCCAATGCCCCTCACCCCCAAGGCAGCCTTCTCCTTGCCCTCTCCCGCCTTCCGAGCGTGTGCCGCTCCGGTCGTCCCCGGGCTCCCTTCCAGCCTCTGGACCCTATCTCACACCCGCCTCCCGCTTCCTGTCCGCCTGAACCCTGCCGCCTTTGCTCCCTGTCTTACTTCCTCAGTGTGGCCCCCTCCTCCAGCCGCCAGAAGTGGGAGACGCTGGCGGGAGCTTCCTCCTCCTGGCGCTCGGAGGAAAAGGAACAACCAAGGAGGAAGGGTCGCCGCTGCGGCACGCGGGGGAGCTAGACGCCAGGCTCCGCGCTTCGGCTCGCGTCCCTCCCGCTTCCTGGGCCTCGACCGAATCTTCTCGGGCACCTCCTGGTGCGAGGAGTGGGGACTGCGACCTCACCAACCTCCCCATCCCCAGCCTGGGATTGGGTGCGATATCTGGGATCTCTCGGCTTGGGTGGCAAAAAAATATTGAGGGTGGCATTTATAGTCGCTATAGTCAACTTGGGGGAGGTGACGGCTGCCTTCCGCTGGCTGCCCCTCGGCTTTCCCAGCCCTGACCCTATCCTCTAACCCGTTTCCTGCTTCAGCTGACCACATTGTTTTCCTGGATGTGTCCCGTGCCGAGCAGGCTTTTTCCTGCAGATTTGCCACCCCTCCGCACCCCCAGCCCCCGCCCCGCCAACATTTTGCTGCCAAGAGAAGCTAGTAACCAAACACAAAACAACTGGGAGGAGGGGCGGGAGGGGAAGAAAAGTTGTGCCCGGGTGGCTTGTCCCTCCCCGGCTTTGATCCCCTTTGATGTCCAGGGAGGTGACTCAGCTGGGGGTCTGGGGCCCAGTCCGGGGCTTAGGTCGGGAGGGCTCCCTCGGTCTGGACGCTGCCCAGCGCCGGCGGAGCTTGGGAGGCCACCGAAGTGCCGCAGTCCCCGCCCGGTGCCCCGCGTTCCTGCAGTCTCCGCCCGGAGCCCGCGCAGGCGGCTGCTCCAAAGTGTTTTCTTTCAGCCTTAAAACAAAATCCGGAGGGAGCTTCCTTCCTCCCCACCTCGCAGCGCCGGGCTCTGCCGACCTGGTGGCGTTTGGAGGACTGGAATGGGCCCAGGGCGGGCTCCGAACTACGTCCCCTACCCCACCCCCGCCGTGATTAGGATCTGCTCTCTGGCTGATCGCCCCCTCCCCCTTTTCCTGCATTTACAGGCAAGTGAACTGGAGCAAACGACTTCCGATCCAGTCTGCGCTGCTGCGGCTCCCGTTTGGGATTTGATTTGCAGCATCTTCGAGCCTCTACGACAAAAAACCGCGAAGCACGCCCAGCCCTCCCCCGGCACCCCGAAAAGCACCCACTCCCTCCCGAGGACACAGCTGGGCGCGTCCACACCCCCGCAGCCCCACACCATGTTGTGCGGAAGGACTTCCACTCCCCGCCTGTGTCGTTGATGTCAGACCCCAGGCCAGCCTCCGGGTGCTGCAGTTCTCCCGGCTAATGCTGAGGCTGCGGCTCCAGCTCTAGCACAGGCACCAGCCGCCGCGGCACCCGGCCCCAGCACCCACCGTCTGCATGTGCCCGCCGTAGCCGCCTGCCCAGCCCGCAGCCCGCGCTCCACGGAGCGCTGGAGACCGCCGCGGGGTGGGGGGAGGGCTCCTCCGCCCTCTAGAGAAGCTGTCTTGGAGGTATTGATTTAGGTGGTTGGATTTTTTTCCGTGGATCTATCAATTCACATTTCGAATTTGGAAGAAAAAAGGAAAACATGACGTCTCCAGCCAAATTCAAAAAGGATAAGGAGATCATAGCAGAGTACGATACTCAGGTCAAAGGTAAGGGCTTTGAAAAATAGCACACTGCAAATGCTCTGTGGACTGGTGAGGCATGTATTTCCACCCTGATTTGCAGGCTGTTTATTTCTTTGGGTGGAGCAGATGGGGGCAGGCTGACCCCAGAGGTGCTTTCATAGGTGGGTCTGAACCTCCAAAGGATGGGCAGTGTCAAGGGCTGCTGGCACTGGAAAGGAATTTTTAGAGTGGGCCGTAGGAGTATCTTTGTGGGGCTGACCGTGATTTTGGCAGCCCTTTCCCCCAAGCTGACAGGGTCGGGGGAGGGGCAGGAGGCTCTTGGTGAGAGAAAGGCACAATTTGCCTCCGGTTCTCTGGGTCAGATTTCCTTCAAAGACAACTGAAATCTGACAGGTGTTTGGACATTTATTTCAGAGACTGAAGAGGAGTCCAGACAGAAAGGCAACCTTGAGAAGGTGTACCGTTTGGAGACCCTTGGGAGAGAGAGGGTTTTTCTGAGGCACTATATTAAAACATGAGATTTGCTATGGCACTGGACTCCAAGAGTCCATTGCTACCTTGGATGTACCTTGTACCTGTCTGGTCTCTGGTCGGCCTGCATGCAATCAGAGATCAGAGAACAGAAAGAATAAGGCCACACAGGCTCGGTCTCCGCCCTCACCTGAATCTGAATAGAGTTGGGAGGATGTTAGGGTTGCTGGTTGGTGCTGATTCTGGAAAATGGGAAGACATAATTGTTTAACCCTTCTGTGCTGTGGCCCTCTGCTCCAGAAGACATGCTTTTAAAGCCCCATTTTTCTCTCCGGAAAAATGTGAAGGGTAAAGCAAAATGTAGTTTTGGAGAAACCAAGTGACCTATCTCCTTACCTAGTGGACTGTCTGACTTGACTCATGAATAAGAGCCCTTACTCAGATAGCGTTTTTTAAACCCGCAATTCCCATAGGAAGGGTTCCTGCCTGTTAAAGAGCTGCAGCATGTGTTTGTGCAAGGCACTGTCCTTTCCTGGTCAGTCACTGGAAAGAGCCATGTGGCTCCAGCCCATTGAGACCTTAGCTAGGGAGTGGAAGAGGTGGGTGGCCTTGAATGTTACACCACATGGTTGGAGCTCTGGGTTTTCCTTTGTTTCAGAGTACAAGGGAGGGGCCCCTCTGTTCCCTGCACCAGTGCAAGGAGACCTTTTCCTATCAGAGAGGACTTGAGAAGGACCATGTCTCCCCTTAAATGATTGCTGAGGGGTGGGGGTAGGGGTAGAGTTTGAAATGGGTAGCTCCCTTATCTCTTGGGAGGTTGGAAGGTTGTCTGAAGTCCTTATTGTACCTACAGGATCTTTTTTATGTCATTAGTTTGGTCAATGCTGGAGGTGCCCTAAGGGGCCTTCTAATCCACTTGGCTGTAGATATTGGTAGGTTTATTACAGAGATGGGGGAGTTGACTGATTGATAGCTTCAGTTGAACTGGGATTGAGAGAGGTGTGGTTGTGAGTTATAATTGAGGTCTTGGCCTCTTGTCACTGTTCATAATCCAGGTTTGTTTTTGTAAACAATAGGCCACTGGCCTTGGTGTCCTGTCCAGATGCACTGCAATTTGCTCTTGGAATCCCCCCTGCAGTCTTAACCAGATATGTCTTTTTTTTTTTTTTTTTTTTTTTTTAACACATCCTATTCTTAAACTGTTGCCATCAGGAGTGTTAATAACTTTGATCTCCCAGATTTCTCTCCAGAAGCATGCCATTTGTCTAAGGTGCAAAGTGATTTTAAATGTTTATTTTTTGGAAGGTTCAAGGCTGATAGGTGTTAATAGAACTGTATCTGCCAATTTCTTATTGGCAAAAGATTTCTCAAGAGTGTCTCAAAATTAAACACTTTGGATATTTACAAACATTGCTCATTGAGATGATGTAATGCAGTTGGCTATTGGGGTTTTCTCTTCAACTGTGCCACAGCATTAGACTGTTTTGCTTTGCTCTGATATTTTTCCACTGATACGATTCAGGATCATAGAAATTGATCCTGAATGCTCAACATGGCTAAGCATGATGTCTTACTCTGAGAAGGTGCCTGATGAATGCTTATGGAACTGATTTGAATAGTTTAGTCCTTCATTTTACAGCTGAGGAGAATACAGAGAACTGAAGATGCTTGTCCAAGGTCACACAGCTAGATGGTGGCATATCTGAAACTAGAAGCAGATTTACCAACTCTCAATTCCCTATTCTGTATCTTTACTACGAAACATCATCTGACCAGGGTGAGAAAACATGAAAAATTCTTAAGGAGCCCAAATCTGTCAATGAATAATAGTAGTAATGATAATTATGATAATAGTAGATTACATTTTGGTTGCTCATTACATTCCGGACTGTCTCAGGTGCTTTAAATGAGTGGTCTGGTTTAATCCTCACATCAACCCAGGAAGTGGATATTATTGTCACCTTCCATTCACCATATAAGGAAACTGAGGCTTAGAGAGGACAAGAAGCCCTTCCAAGGTCGCACAGCCAAACCATGGCAGCTTGACTTCGTTCCTTTTTTCATTAACTATTGAGTGCTTACTATGTGTTCTGGGGACTGGCAATACAGCCGTGAAGAAGCAAAAGTCTCACATTTGTGGAGCTTATATTCTGGAAGCTAGGCTCTTTATGGAACAGCACAGAATTTGGAGACAAATGGCCTGGGATCTGGGTTGGCTCTGCCCCCCCACTAGCAAGAAGCCCTGGGTCAGAAATATTATGAGTGTCAGCTTTTTATGTGTTATATGGGACTCATGGTGCTGCCAGACTTACTTCTCTTACAGATGCCAAGATAAAAAGAAAATTGCTATAACAGCTATGCAGTTTGGTTTGGTGGTTAAGTGCAATTTTTAGAGTCAGAGGGATTTAGGTTTAAATCTTGGTTCTGCCAGTTGCTTGCCTTTCACTTCAGGCAAGTTACATGACTTACCTAAGCCTCAGTTTCCTTATTTGGAAAATAGGTAAAATAAAATAGATTTCCTAAGGTGTAGTGAGTTGATGATGAGATATATAAATTATTTAGAACAGTATCTGGCACTTGTAAGTTCTCAATAATGGTCCGGTCTACTCCTCTGTGAGCAGGCTTTCTTTTGCTGAATTGGGCTGACTATCGAGGCTGCATTGCATATTCACTCCCAGAGAGTTCTAGTTTATGTTCATCTAGTAGTAACAAAAGATCTTGGGTCAGTCATTTAAACCCTCTGGACATCAGTTTCTTTTTCTATCAGTGAACAAGTCAACTAATTATTGGCCACTCTAGTTCTACGTGTCTTTGACCAGAGTCCCAGGTCCTGTTTTTTCAATCACAATTGTTTGAGTCAAATGGACTCTAAATGGGACCCTCATCTCATGGGACCCTTTTGAGGACCCTCTCAATCCCTTGCTTTTTTTCTCCCTATAAACCACCTGCATGCATGTGCCCTGAGGAACTTCTGAGGCTTCAGCCCCAACCCTACCCCAGAAGGGTATTGTGAGGGGTGTGCCTCCTTAGTCAGCCTGCCTTGTAGTGTGTTTCTTGTTTGTGGGTGCCTAGATTCCTTTGAAAGTTAATGCCTCTCAGTGTCTGACTTGAAAGCAATAATATTAGTCTTTTTACATAGCTCTTTCCAATTTACAATGCACTTTCATATGTAGTTGTCCCTCAGAATCCTCCGAATTGGTTCT